TCAATTCTTTTGTTTTCTTTATTCGCTGCTATAGTGCTGTCTCTTATACACATCTAGATGTGTATAAGAGACAGATACAGTATATATATATATATATATATATATATATATATATATATAATATGTAAGTATAGGCCTATATGTATGTACGTATAGTTATATTTATGGACACATTTTTATCGCATTTTATTCATCACAGATTGGAAAATCTTTCGGACATAGTGGAGCCGGTGGACAGGAATGCTGGGCCAACCCTGAACTAAAGCTAGGCTATGGTTTTGTGACGAATACGCCTACACTGAGCATTATTGAGACGGGAAAACGCTACTTGTTACTACGCAAAAGTGTTTATGACTGTGTTCAAAAGTTAGGAAAATAAAAATATTATTTGATAAAGTCAGTGTCTTTGATGAAGAAGTCCGTTATACTTATGTAAGCTAATTGTTTAGACCTAATTTTTATTTCCTTTTTTTTTCTCCCCCTTGATGATATTGCATATAATTATGTTGTGGATTTTAATAGCTTGGTGGTTAAGGGGTTGCTTTCCAATTCCAGGGTGCTGGGTTATATTCGTCTCACGGTAACAGTATTTTTTCTCACGACCAAAACAACTCGACTTATTAGGCCTCATAATGAGACTTATTTTATATGGAGCGTCGTGTGTGTGTGTGTGTGTGTGTGTGTGTGTGTGTGTGTGTGTGTGTTAGTGTGTGGGTGTGGGTTGGTGTGTGTGGGGGGTGTGTGTTTGTCTTGTGACGAGATTGCCATATTAAAAAGTTTATATATGTTATTCGTTTGTGAAAAATATAATGGTTAAATGATTTTCTATTGTACCCTTTAACCCCTCCCCCATTTATCCCCACCCTCCCGAGTGTGGCTACTTTGTGGCCTCTGCATGTCATTCTTACAATGATCTGCCATGTTCAAAGGAGGGGGGGTCAGTGCATTTGTCCGAAGGTCTTTTGGTCCAAAGGGCCTTTGGTATTAAGGTCCGTTGGTCCGAAGGGTCTTTCGTCCGAAGGTCCGTTGGTCCGAAGTAATTAATTCAAATTACTTTAGCTATCCAGAACCGTCCTCCACTCCCACCCTGTTTCTCAAATCCTGAACACCTGGGTACTCTACGCATCTCCAAGAGGGCCCTCACTCCCAACCAAACTGCACACAATTTTGCGTCAGCCTAGACCCTTGGACAGAATGACTGCTTTGATTGCAGCGTGACAAACAGTGCGTAAAGCTGGTTTTCCATTAGGCGAATTTATTCGCGTGAATTAAAGCGTCGGTTCGTTTCTTGAGCTCTTATTGGTTGCGCATTTTTCCGCTTCACAAAAACTCCGATAGGAAAGTGAATACGCATGCGCATGAACCGACGCTTTCGATTCGCGCGAATAAATTCGCCTAGTGCAAAACAGGCTTGACGCCCGTGAGCTCTCGGGGCGAATCCCCTGAAGCCCAGCCCAAAGGAGCCCCAGAGGGTCCCCGAGCGCTTCTTACTACTATACTTATATATAATGGTATTTACCAAACTTCATAATAAAAAACATAAAAATTACGTTAACACCAAACATCAACAAGTCTTAACTAACAAAAGAACAAACGAGAATTACAAATCAAAATACGAAACCACTGTATTCAGGACAATAATTATGGAAGTCCTTAGCACTGTAATACAGCGTCTTATCGATGTTTGCTCTCAAAGGCAAAGTTCCAGTCTCCCCTGTTTAGGACCAGAGGTGCTGGGCCCCTTTCTACTAATGCCCTGCAATCTAAGACACATGTTGCACCTATTCAATTCAAAAACTAACCAACATCAAATTATAATTTTTTTGTGTTTATATTAAGCAATACTAAAGTCTGTACCTAATTACCTAATCCAATGATTAAAAATTTAATAATTGAAATGCAGTCTTTTCAGCCTACATTTATCTTTAGTAAGATCCCACCGGCCCGGACACTTCGTGAGCAAAAATATTTTGCTGATATGCAAAGGGCCCAATCATTATGCGTTGGAGCCCACGTTAGCGTTAAACACATGTTCGGGACCACCATGTAGGTCTATATTGGCCAACAATATTCAATTATTGCTAGCATGACTTGTCAGCTCAGTTTATGTATATTTTTAACAAATTATTAGAAATTGGGGTGGGGGTGGGGCGGGGAAAGTTCCCGACGAGAGCAAAGTGAGCGTGGTCGGGTGTCAATTAAAATATTTTGAAAGTGGTTCATGGGGCGGATCCCCCGGAAAATGTGACAATTTAGGGGTTTCAGAGGATTATTCAATCGATTCTAAATAGATAGTCTACTAATATGTAGAAAATACATATATATATATTTTCTCCCCTATGAATTGTGTTTTTTTCTACTCTTCTGGGGAGGGGGGAAAACTGGTCGGCAACAAATTTTCTAGGGGGAATTTTTCCCCACCCCTGTTCCCCCATGTAGTACCGCCACTGTACATTAGAAGCAAATAAAAAAAAACACTAGACATGATTCGTATCATAGTACATTGAGTTTTAATTCATAATACAACTGAAATTCTCATTGGGAACATCTCCTTATCTACGATCGAGAGAGGAATTTAACTGATGCGAGTTAGCCAGATTTTCGTACATTTCGCAAAATAAAGGAAATATATATATTTTTTTTAAATGGTGAGCAGCGAAAATTGATGAGGGAGGTGACAAGAAACTAGTATTTTTTTTCTAACTTGGCCTTATATGTTGTAAGGGAAAATATTTGAGAATATTGTTTTAGAAAAGTGATCTTTCTTAATTTACTCCATAAATTGTAAGTAATTGTTTTACTGCCGTATAACCTGCATTCCTGAAAAAAGGGTCACTAATCCGGACCAACGGGCCTTCGGACCAATGGACCTTCGGACCAAAGACCCTTCGGACCAACGGGCCTTCGGACCAAAGACCCTTCAGACCAATGGGCCTTCGGACCAAAGACCCTTCGGACCAAAGACCCTTCGGACCAAAGGTACGCACCCGTTTAAAGGTATGTTCTTTAGGCCTAAATCTTACCAACCAGGGCGCCGAGTCAGCCAGCCTTTTACCAGCGGATGGAAATTGCCACGTTTGAGGGGGCGCTGAAATTGAAGAATGAGAGTAAAAAATAAGCACCCCCGGGCGGCCCCCCCCCCCACTTTTTGACAAAAATATATTATGTCTGGAGATTTTTGTATGATCGGAAAGAAATGCAAAAAAAGAAAGAGGGAAGGAGGAGAAGGATGGGAAAGAGAATGTTTATCCAGTCCCCGACCGAGTTACATTTCCTCGCAATTCACATTGGCGGATCTGGAGGAGGGGGGTCATGGGTTCTGACCCCTCCCTTGGGCAACAAAAAAAATGAAAAAAAAAAAAAAAGAATTCTAGACCTACCTTTTCAGGACCCGTGAGCTTTTTTTTTTTTTTTTTGTTTGTTTGTTTTGTTTTTAAATGTTACAATAAGAAAATTAGAATTTAGAAGAACATGAATCGTTAAAACGTACTTCAAATGTCGGGAAAGCTCATTTCCCGCCATCTATGAATCAAAATTTTCCCGGGGGAGAACCCCCAGACCACCCATTCTTTTTGGGATTTATCGATTCATTGATTCATCATAATAATTTTCAAGAGTGGAAAACCTTGAATTTTGAAGAATTTAAAAGTAATTAAGACACCTCAGAAGTCGGAAAAGCTCATTTCCCGCCATCTAGGAATCAAAATTTTCCCGGGGGTGAACCCCCGGGCCTCCCATTTCTTTGGAGCTTATCGATTCATTGCAAAAACAAGAATACCGTACTCGCGCGAATAAGCGCCCGGGCGCTTAAAATATTTTTTGCACTTTCTGAGGGGCGCTTATTCAAACGGGGCGCTTATTTAAACGGGGCGCTTATGAAAACAGAGTGGAAATTGAGGGGGCGCTTATGGAAAATAGATGAAAATCGATGGGTTCTTATGGGAAATTATTTTAATAATTAAAAATTCAAGAGGCACTTTTTTAATGAAAAAACGATTAGGCATATATAAGGACATTACGAATGGTGGTTAGAAAAGATAATCGTCCAGAGAACATGGCTCATAACAAGAATGCGTGAATATTTACAGCAAAATAGCAGATGCAGTTAGTGGTAGGTAGTGGTTAGCTTGTTGGCCATCGGCCGATTGAGATTCAGGATGGCAGGATCTTTGTATTTTTCTTGAAAACTTAGATGAGAATGTGGTTAATGTCGAAAAAAGAAAAAGAGGAGTAGGACAGACATAGACAAATATGTAAAAAAGATTAAAGTTGGAAATATACTGTCTGTCCAGGGATTGGACCTCTCATCTGTCCAGGGATCGGAGCTCTCATCTGTTCTAGAGAAATATCCTTATTTTGATATTGACTGAAGAAGAATGTGTTTCCACTCTACAGCTCAAATCATGCCAACAACCACAGTCTCAGGATTGATTGGATTATTGACTTGCTAAAAAGAAAATCTTATGAGGGGGCGCTTATTCAAACGGGGCGCATATTCGCGCGAGTACGGTACGTATGCAACTACTAATTTTTTTTTTTTATGTATGTATACACACATAACCGGTCAATTTACTGTAATAAGAATGAGAATGTTTTATCTGACCGTTTTCAAGAGGAGGAAAACCTTGAATTTTGAAGAACAAAGTCATTAGACATCTAGCTCAAAAGTCGAGAAAGGACATTTCCCGCCATCTAGAAATCAAAATTTACCAGGGGGAGGACCCCCGGATCCCCTTTCGTTTTTGGGAAAAATGTTTACCCCCCACCCCCTAGGTTTGAGTCTAGATCTGCATGATTCATATTCCCATCTATCTTATTTATCCCGACTTCGAAAAACGTTCCACCGGCCCTGTCCATCAATCACAAACCAAACTGGAAAATCCTAAAAGCAACGCAGGCCCGTAGCCAGGGGGGGGGGGTTTATGGTTCGGGCGAACCCCCCTTTTCTAGCGAACCCCCTGTTTTCTAGCGAACCCCCTGAATTTTTGAATGAGTCCCACTCGTTTTTAAATTGTAGCCTGCATTACAAGCCTACATTATAGAATATGTCAGCTTCAGAAGTTCGGAGATTTAAATTAAAACGCAATTCCTTTACGATGGCACACATAAGGATGGCAAACATCGATAAAAACACGGCTACCGTCTCAACTTTCACTGGCCTTTGGCTAAATGTTTGTAAGAAATGTACCAACAGGTAACGAAACCGGTCGCCGTCTACCTAGAGTAAATGGCTAGGGGTTTTTTCAGCATACGAGTTACAAGAGAACGCCGAGTTGCTAACTCGGCAAAAACTCGTAGGACGATTCGGAAAGCTCAGAGAGGACTCTTACCTACTGGTATCAGCTCCGAACTCGTGGCGCTAATTTTGAACATGTTCAAAATTATCGCCACGAGTAGATAACTCGTAGTAAACTCGAAGAATTCGTAGGTAACTCGTAGAGTACTCAGGGTACTCCTACCTAGCTCGTACACTACTCTGGATACTCGTCAGCGGTTTTGTCATCTACGAGTTTTATGCGAGCACCCAAAAACGAGTACGAGTAAGTACGAGCGCACCGAGTTAGCTCGTACCTAACTCGTATCTAATTCGGTACAAACTTGTTACGCTCGTAATAATCTCGTAGTTAACTCGGTGCTCTGCTCGGCATAATTCGTATATAACTCGTAACCAACTCCATAAAGTCGTACCTCACTCGTAGCTAACACGTAATAAGCTCGTATAGGTCCTTTCCAAAGATCACGAGTTTTAACTCGTAGAAATCGTATGACTCTTAGGTGAAATAAACCTAGGTGGGAGAGGGGCTTAAAGTTTTGCGACTTAATCCACCAAATGCAAATAAAGTTTTGCGACTTAATCACCTAAATGTGGATTGTGTGGTTAGTAAATTCCATAGCCATACTGTCCATCGCGCACACTAAACTATGAGCTGATGGAGCATTTTGGGGAAATGGACTCTCCTTTTTTTTCATCCCAAACAAAATATTATTAATAAATCAACATAGTCCATCTCAGTCATCATAGCCAGTCTCAAAATTAGGCTAGGAAGTTTGTTTTAAACAGCAGACACGCTACAGAACGGAGTGCGTCAAAACGAGTGTCTGTTAATTTTTAGTGATAAAGAATCATGAAACGTTGTAGAATAACTGACTTTTTTTCGTCCGCTGTTGCAAAGAAGAAAACGACAGATAATCCTGGTGGGTTATTGATTTTAAAATCAATTAGCCTAGCCTAGATGTTGACTAGCTAGGTTCGCTCCTTGTTCATTTAGATACAGAATTATACCCCGACGACAACAAAGTATAGGCCTAGGCCTAAGTACAGTAGAACGTACTACAGGTAGACCTACTAGGCCTAGGCTTTTGTTGTAAAAGTTGAAGTGCATGTACAGGATGCGCCATAGGCCTATATTTAAAAAAATACATTTTGTTAATTATTATTGGTTGGCCTGGGACGGACCTAGCTAGGCAGGCAGGCCAGCTTTACCGTCAGAAGTCCTGGGATTCGATGATGACGTCCGTGCACGTTTACAAACGCCATTGATTAGAAAGATTATGAAAGAAAGAATTTATCGAACATTTATCTACATAAAAACAAGAATAATATTGTAGAAATTGTATTTCTAAAGACGCATGTAATTCATATTTTATTTTGTAGACAATAAATATTCAGTAAGATATACTAAAAACGATTATTAATTCTGAAATGTGCATCTCAGCTATTATTAATCAGTAGGCTATGTATTATGTTATAAAGTCTTAAAATAATAATTTCGAATTATGCTATATTTTGGGCTC